ATATATCTGTTTATCTCGATGTATTTTGCAGGAATTTTTAGCATGCGTTTTCTCGCTTCTGACGTCATTAAAAAGAAATGGATGATGCGACTCCCCAGGAGCCTTAAGAGTAGCTCAATTCTTAGAAAATTGTGCAAAAAGACGTGACTGATAAAAACTAAATAACTGTTTCTTAATTACTTTCAAACATATCCCACACAGCACGTAATATTGCAGAAATATTGCAGTGATATCGCAATATAGTGGTAATATTACATATCACAGTGAAATATTACAGAAATATTACTGAAATATTGCACTTTTACATATATTATTGAAATATTACAGAAATATTACTGTAGTATTACATACTTATCATTGAAATATTACACATTTATATCATTGAAATATTACACTTATATATTTGCAATCCCAGATAGCAAGGTGACGTCTAAAGACGTCATTAAAACATCATAGACGTCTTAATAACGTCTTTAGACGTCACTTTGCTACCTGGGATATTATAGTTAAATTATAGCAATATATTATATTCTAAATAGAATGGTGACATCAATTGACATATCAATTTCTTTGACATTATAGACATTATTAAAACGTTATTACGGCGTCATTTGAAGTTACCTTCCCTTACAGAAATAGTATTTTTTAAAAGTTTCTTTTAAAATTTAGTATTTCGATTTGTTTAATTTGGATTTTCTTGGATTTTTTAATTTTTTTTTGTTTGGATTAATTATTATAACATCTTGTTAAAAATCTAAAAGTAATTATCACTGGTTCACTACATCAATATTTATCGCATATCGAATGTTGTTGCATTGTTTCAATATCTATCAGCAAATTATTCAACAAACACTAAGTAAAAATTATATAACTGTTATTTGATGTTTGCTATGTATATTATAATGTACTGTAAACACTATAAGGATATATTATATAAGCATGAATTGTAAGAACATCGTTGGAATCATCAGAATCATTGCGTGCGCGCTCGATCGTCAGGTTAAGCAACAGTTTAATGCAGTCAAGACATGGATGGGTGCCAGTGAATTATACTGCTTGGGGTCGAAATTATCGCTGGAGGATTTCACCAAAGTTTGGAGTGTATTTGACAACTTTAGATACGTAGTAGTTTATGAAACGTGAGAAAACTAGGAATACTATAAGTATATTTTTTTAAATATTATGATTTTCTCACAGTAATATCATTGTGATTTTCACCATTATATTACTGTGATGCATTTGTCGCGGACATTTTAATATTACTGTGATATCTTAGTAATATTCCAGCATTTCTGTTATATTCCCTGGTAATACTCTTATAGAAATATCATACTAAGAATCATTGATAATTACTTATTTTCAGTATTAAAAATACTGGATAATAAGTAATTATCAATGATTCTTAGTATGATATTTCTATAAGGATATTGCAATGAAAATATAATATTGCTCTGATATTTCTGCGATATTACATGCTGTGTGGGTATTTATTCGGTTATTATTTAATTATTACTATTACGCATAAGAAAGCAACTCGGGCGTGCCGTTACGACAATTTCTTTATCTTGTCCCCTTATAAAAATATACTAAGAATCATTGATAATTACTTATTTTCAGTATTAAAAATACTGGATAATAAGTAATTATCAATGATTCTTAGTACGATATTTCTATAAGGGTCATTAATCAGTTATTATCGCTGTTGCCCAGTTATTGTTATTCATTGTTATTACCAAATATTCGGTCACCGTTATTCAGTTATTATCTACACGCGGATGTTATCATGCGATTGTTAATTAGGTATTATTATCACTACCATTTATTATTCGAGAGTATTATTTATATTTATTACCATTCAGCTATGTACATTAAATAGATAGCCAAGAAGGGGATTTGGTTTACATAAAAACAACTAAATCACACATTCCACACATCATCCATTCTTCCATCCTTTTCCATTCTTCCATACTTTCCTATATCTACATCACATTAAATTCTCCTCTCTCTTTATTCTTTCCTTTACCCCTTTTCACTTTATCCTTTTTCTTTTTCTTTTTCTTTTTCTCCTTCTCTTTCTTTTTCTTTGATCTTACTCTCCCTTTCCCTCCACATTCTTTTTAACACTTTCCCTTTAATCTCATCGATTTCATCATCCCATATCCTTTCTTTTTCCCTACCTTCCATACTATCCATCTCCTCGAACCATCTCTTTCCCCACTCACATGTATACATATAATGATTCATCTCATCTTGCTCCTTCCCACACATTACACACCTTCTCTCTTCCTCTTCCAACCAATACTTATTTTTTAACTCCAGATTACCACACCTTAGCTTAATAAGCGCCCTCACTTCTCCCCCCGCCTTTGATCCCCTCCTTATCAAACTGCTTTTTTCCAAATACTTATGTCCCTCCCCTATTTTCCTTATATCTTTATACCTTTTATTATACTTCGCCTCCCTAATCTTACTTTCCACTGTTTTTGCACGTCTCTTTCTCTTTTTACTATCTCTCCTTCCATATCCCACCCTCCTTCCATTCCCTCTTTAACTCTTTCTACATTCCATCCATTCCTATTATTTATTATTCGAGAGTATTATTCCCTTATAAAAATATCATACTAAGAATCATTGATAATTACTTATTTTCAATATTAAAAATATTGAATAATAAGTAATTATCAATGATTTTTAGTATGATATTTCTATAAGGGTTATATAATTACTTTCCTATGCGTAATAGCAATAATTAAATAATAACCAAATAAATTGACCGATTTGACAATAATCGAATAAAGAAGTAATAATACTCGAATATTAAATGCTACTGATAACCCTTATAGAAATATCATATTAAAAATCATTGATAATTACTTATTATCCAGTATTTTTAATACTGAAAATAAGTAATTATCAATGATTCTTAGTATGATATTTCTATAAGGGAATAATATCTGCTCGACAATCGTGTGATAATATCCGCGAGAAAGAAACTGATGAGAGATGATCTAGCTTTGCGATAATATCGTCGCTGGTTCGCTTCGTGTCCACGTCGCACGGTCCGCTCATCAGTAGTGAAACAAGAATAGAGCGATTGGACATCTGTCCTTTTCTAACTTACTATCATTGTACGGAAGTACAATGAGCACGAACCAGGACCCATTCTTGAATTTTTTGCGAATACGTAATTTTCATTGCGCAGCTTTTTATGCTATGATTAAACCTGCGCAGTAAAACTTACATATACGCAACTATTTCAAGAATAAGGGCTCAGGTGTATTTTATCTTTACCACCACGAAAATACAACAAACGTAGTAAAGGCGTACTTTGTTAGATGGCGTTTCAAAAATGCACCTAGCTCTGGCTATTGAAATCAGGCTGGTGGCCGCTCTCATGCTTCTCTCTAGTTCGAAAGATATCAAGACCGGAAACTAATAGCGAATTCGGTAGCTTGCACTGTCCTGAATGTCCTGTATGAGTGAGAGAGAAAGGAGAGAGAGAGAGAGAGAAAGAGAGAGATCCTTTTGTACATAATCAGATAAATTTATTTGTTCAAACTTTTAGGCCGGTATTCATATAGCTCCTGCACACAGGACGCGGTAATGTTTGCCGCGCGGCGGAAGTCCGCGCGACAGCCAATCAATATGTTGTTTTTCCGTAAGAACTAGAAGGTTATTACGGAAAGCAGCATATTGATTGGCTATCGCACGAACTTCCACCGCGCGGTAAGCATTACCGCGTCCTGTGTGCAGGAGCCATTAAGTCACCTTCAGATACTCCCGATACTTCAGATACTCCATAGCCAATGAAATAATTCGTAGAGCATCTGAAAATGAACTTAAAACGATCTTAAATATAAGAACCAACTATGAATACCAACCTTAGAAGGTGAGTAAATTTTTATTACCACACGTATGCAAAATTAATTACGCAGTTAGAATGAATGATGATAAAACATGTGAAAAATTTACATCAGCCTCAAAAGCACTCCAAGTTGCAATTCTAGGTACGAGTCTGCCGTATCAGCCGGGAGATCCAATACACTTTAGTGGGGACGGTCGAGTAGTGGGAGAAATCCCTCCATCCGGGATTGTATTAATTGTTTGTGATCCGTTGAAGTAGTGTGCTCCGTATAAATAATACGGGAAATCGGAGAAGCGGCATCGGTGCATCTTTGTCGCGCGTCATCGTTTGTACGTTGTGTGGTGTTTGAGAGAAAGTCAAAGAGAAGAGGGACATCAACGCGACGATGTTGAACCAGGCGGTAGTCGAGGCTTTGTATTCTGCGACATACATCGAAAACTACCTGGATTGTGTGGAAAATCTGCCGAACGACCTGCAGAGACATGTCTCCCGTCTACGGGAGCTAGACGCCACATGTCAAAGTAATTGTATTAGATCCGCAATCACAGAGTATCTCGATGTTTCGACTTGACTTTTTCTAGAATCCTTCGTGAGACTTGTTGCTTTTTTGTGAATTTCCGGACAGATGTTGATGTCTCGCGTATGACAAAATATTTCGAAGTATTTTGTCAACAAAGTGGATACTTACAGAATTCGAGCTGTGCATACAACAGTGCCTCAAACAATAAGGAAATCTAAAATTTAAAAGATGTATAGTATCTATTTTTTTGTGCATCTCCTAGGTATCTTTCTTATTTTTGAGATTAATTTTGTAAGTAGATTTTGGCATGAAAAGCAAAAGAAAAATCACATTGTATTTTTCTTGTAAATTCTGTGAAAGATTCTAGAAGAATATAACTTTAAGAATGACTAATTACATTATGTATCTTGGAATCAAACAGTCGAACAAAGAAAATACATAAACATGGAGTCAAATATAGAATTATATGAAAAAAAAAAAAATAATGATAAAAACTAATCAGTGATACTTATCTGACTATGTTTATAATTTTAATTGTTTCAGGTGAATAAAATTCACTTCAGTACTAATATTATTATTGAATATAACTATATACTAAAATATATTAAGTATTCTCTATATAAAATATACTGATATAATTTTCATTCCATGTATAATAAGATATGTATAATAAGAATATGTAGTTTCCATGTATAATAAGAAATGCAAGTTATAAAAAATTATAAGTGAAGATCTTTAGAGATCATATCTATACTTATGAGAAGGTTGATTATTTGACTCAATTGTTTGACTTTATTTCTGGTACAATTTATCATATTTTATTTGTTAGACATGATACAATTATTTACTCTTCCATGTTTGTATTGTGTAGCATATCTGCGTGAGGTGGACCAACAGCAAGAAATATTGTGCAGCGACTCAGATATAGCAATTAAAAGAAGGGCATTGGTGAGAATACAACAAGCTCTGATTGCAGCACAAGAAATTGGCGATGAGAAATTAGACATCATTCAGCAAGTACAAGATCTCATAGAGAACAAAGCCAAACAGTTGGAGTTGGATTATCAGAATTTAGGTGCGTTATACTATATACTCTTGATTATACTCTTGATTTTATCATACAAAGCACAAGATCTTACAGTATTTATTACCATTCAGCTACAAAATAGCCAAGAAGGGGACTTGGTTTACATTGAATTCTATCTGCACAAGATCTTACAGTTATTTATTGCTTTACAGATTTTGGCAAAGAACAAGAGTGTTCCGAGTCTGCCCGCGAATCGAATATTAGCAGCAACACAAATAGCGCTGGTCATGCAAACAACACAGAACGTCAGCCGAAGCGCGCTAGAAGAACGAGGACTGAAACTTTAGGAGAATCAACACATTCCATGGACATGTTGGTTATGGCGGAGACGAGATCCTCGACATTGCCTAGCACAAGCAACGGAAGTCAAAAGAAGACGACTACAGCTGCCACCGGTAAAAAGAAAAAGAGGAAATCTCGACAGGGCAATCAGCAGAATCAGCATCGTGAAGATACGCCTCCGCCGCCAGAGGATGATCTCGCTATTGATCCGGATGAACCTACTTATTGTTTATGCGATCAAATATCTTATGGCGAAATGATCCTCTGTGATAATGACCTTTGTCCTATAGAGTGGTTTCATTTTTCTTGCGTCTCCTTGACCACTAAGCCTAAAGGAAAATGGTTCTGTCCTAAATGCCGTGGCGACCGACCCAACGTCATGAAACCGAAAGCACAATTCCTCAAGGAGCTGGAACGATACAATAAGGAGAAAGAGGAGAAGTCGTAGCAGGAGGAAAATGCAGAAAGACTTAGAAGTTTTGGCAAAGTTAATTGGACTTAATTGGGAGAGATTTCCGTGGAGTATAAAAATTTTAATCTAGAAACGTGGAATTAGATTAAAATCTCGTATTCTCTCTACTGAAATATCTTGACTTATTGATATATATATATATACATATACACACACAACATATATTCATATATGTATATGTACATGTTTCTGTAAAATCAATTCTTGCATATAACAAAGTTCACCGATTACAAAAGAATGGTGTCGATTATTCAAGCAATATTATCGCTCTCTTAATTTTAAAAATATATTCAAATGTCTCATTTCCAAGTCATAGATAATAATTGATTGTATATGTGTGTGTGTGTATGTATATATACACATACATATATGTATATATATACATTTTAATGTGTACATATAACATAATGTCATTAATATTAGACACAAAACAGACTTTGTGCGTGAACGCACTTGTCGACATTGATCGATATTAGTAGGTTTAATGTTTTCATTACATGAAAATATTAAATAAAGTAAGTCATATATATAAGATATAATGTGTAAATGTAATAAAAAGTGAAAATAAGAGAGTATGTAAATAATCATAAAAGGTGCATCATTGAGAAACAAATTAAATATATAACGTTCAGATATATTATGTTAAGAAATTGACAATTGAAACATAGACAATTCTTTGGGTGCGCAGAATTGGTAGAAGTGAAGAGTTTGTAGACATACGTAATTTTTTTTTGCAAAATTTATTAATTCGGTACTATATCGAATATGACATTCATTTACAGTTTAACTTAAGCATGATTCTCTATCGATAAACGTCGAATCCAAAACGAGTTACACTGTTTTCTTATATTTTACATTGTTACATCTGGTGAAAGGAGACTTTCCATAAGCGATTTACAAACTTTCATATTCTTTAACATGAATCATCCACTTTCTTCAAGCTCGTCTATATTTATAAAACAATACGGCTTGCGTGCGGGATTAATATATGGTAAAACATTGCGTTTGTACGAATTTCATCTTTTTTCCTTGTTTACGTGTTTCGCCAGAAGAGCGCCTAAAGTCTAGTTATAAGAGCAGGATAATACATACTGGTACTTATAAATGATGATCACATAAGTTCACAGTGCGACTCCACGCGTCATTTCCAGTTTTCTACATTTTCATTTTTTCTTTCGTCTGTAACAAAATGAAAATCGTGTAAACATCATGTCCGTATGGATATAAATTAGAATGTGAAATATTCGACGCGAAGAACGTCGCCTCCTATAACTTTGACAGTATACACGACTCGATTGAGAGATCATTGTTATACGATACGAGAAAAATTTCTATATCAGAATCGACGATAGATCTCTTATGCAGAATCCACTTTCAAAAATTTGAAATACAATTTCATCAATTAACAAAAAATTAAAAACAATTATAGTTTTTATTATAAGTTAACCAAAGTGAGAGATTGGAAATGACTGAGATGAATAATTGAAAATAAATTATATAGATGGAAAAGATACATTATCGAACAAACAAAAGTGATCTCAGATTTATTATATTTTGAAATAAGTGACTTTTATATAGTTTAGTGTGAAACTTTAAATTATTAAGTCGTTCAAGAAAAATTTTACAATAATATAATTGAAATAAACAATTTTGATATTTTTTGCTAGAAAATTTTAATTGCCTGACATGGGAGAAGGAAAGGGGCGCTGATTTGCACCTTTTGTGTTAGATACCGTCAATGCTAAGGTCGACCCTGGGGCCCTATTCACAAAAAAGCTGCACAACGACCTCTATCGATTCGACAATTGTCGGTAAGTGGTTACAGAATAGGGCCCCTGTTCTTGCACATCATAAAAAGTGGCATACTCAATGTCAGCGGAGATCCTCTGTGTGACTCTCTTGGAAATTCAACCAAGACTGTTCAACTACAGTGGCCACTCTCTTCTCGTACTCCCGTTTATTCTCTTGATACAATTGAGCTGCTAAAGAGTTGGCTGGCGAATTTGGATTCGGTTCATCCAAAAGTGACTGTAACAAATAGTTGACACATTTTCTCAGCAAATCATGTCAGATAACGCTTAATCACACAAAAATGAAATATATATGTATGTATAGACAAACATATAAACAGGAGTCGACGGATGGAAAAGAGCAAACATCAGGTTACAATTATGAGACTATAAAGTGAAATTATGCATTTATTATTATTATATTATTATCATTATTATGTATATATATATTTTTTTTTATGTATGTATATATATTATATATATATTTATATATATATATATATTTATATATATATATTTATATATATATATTTATATATATATATATTTATATATATATATATATATATATATATATATTTATATATAAGTGAATTTGTATACTGAAATACTAGAATTTAATCGAAGTACAATCCTGCGCCGCCGAAAGGATCTTGTTCCTTCGCACAGAAACAGAAAAACGAAAGAGAAAAGAAAACAAAGAAAAAGCCAAGTATTTTTCTTTTATATTCTAACATTTAATTACAGTACTAATTTCGTGTTTATCAGACATCGAAATAAATAAATATACGCAATTTCATAATAATTTATTATTCAACATTTTGTGTAAAAATTCGGTCTAACGTTGCACATCGTGGTAGTTCGATAGAGCTTTTCAGGAAGAAACATGCTAAGGTTCGTGTTTTCTTTCTTTCTTTTTTTTTATTTAAACGTTAGCTCCTTGGTAAGGCTGCACGTTCTCCTCCGTATTTGATGGCTGTTGGTGGCTGATTGATGCTGCGACAGCAGCATCGCGTTATAGCTCGCGACTAATCCACAAAACTCTGCTCCACACAAGCCTTCACTCGCTTCTCGTACTCGCGTCGATTCTCTTTGTACAGTTGCGCTGCCATTGAGTTGGCAGGTGAATTCGGGTTCGGGTCACTTAACAGCGACTGCAACCACATAAGTCGTACCCATTATATGGAGTATAATTTCGTTTAGACTTTATTTTCTGACAAAGTGCATGGCCGTAATCATAAATGGATGGCACGAGACTGCGAATGCTTATTTTTCTTTACTTTTCCGTTTCTTCTTCTAATTCCTCTAATACGGATAAAACGAAAGTACACATCGACGGGCGATCAAAGTAGTCACATATGTAGTCACATAGGTAGAATTACGCAAGTGTTATGCACAAATAATTTTCAATCGGTATCATGTGATTAGACTTTGCTGAATTGCAACCGCTGTTAAGACAAAACGAATGATCCCTCCAGGCATCTTTATCGTGTGTGACTGACAATGAGCAACCAAAGTCTTTCGAAAGCAATGAAAGATGTGTGAGTGATATTTTCACGAAAAAATGTAAGACGGCACAGTGAGATATAGTTTGTATGAGATGTACACAAAGAAGATATTTAATGTGAGATATGTGGAAAATAAAGAGTCTCCATATTTTATTTCGCTATTTGTATTATAAATATCTATTAAATGCCATGCAAGATAGGTTTCCTTAGCTATCTTAATTGTTGAAGAAGAAAATATATATTAGAATGTGATAAAAACATCAGAACTGCATTAAAGACACTAAACTACATTATAAGTCTTTGATTCATATATCTCTTCAAAACTATATATAATATTGCAACAGAGTGCATTCCAATTTCTTTTTTCTTTCAATTTTAACGTGCAATATGTCCATATAATAAGAATTAAGTGAAAGAGAGAAGATGTAACAATATCATGCTATAGAGAGGAACAAAAAAGAGAGAGAGAAAAAGGGAAAAGATCTATGGTGTGATTCTGTAACTCGTTATTGCAGTTAACGACAGTCTCCAAACGAATCGCACTATTGTTGTCTCTTTCATATTTTCAACATAGTTATAACAAGAAGCGATGTTGTATATATGTACATATGTATGCATAAGATATTGACTTATTGAAACGCTAAAATCTGATAAATTGAGATCCCAGGTGTCTACATAAAAGCCCTCATTATAGAGGTAAAAGTGAATTTAATCAAATAATATATATATATATATATATATATATATATATATACATACATACATATATATATATATACATACATACATATATATATATATATATATATATATATACCTGTATAGATGTTAAGATAGCTGAAACGTCGTAAGTAGGACTCCAACGATTTTGTAGTATGTCAAGACAGATTCCACCATCCGCGTATACATTGGGATGGAACATTTTACTAACAAATCTCACTGTGGGTGGTTTGTTTGGATATTCCTCCGTGAATTCTATTGTAAGCTTAAACGTGCCATCCTCAAATGGAGTATCGTGTGGTCTAGAACAGAGAAATGTGAATATTAGTGATCTTTTACACAAGAGATCCACAAGTGGATCTAGATTCATAGCAGTGAAACAAAATGATATCTTACCCAAATATAACTGCATTCCATATCATAATATTATTGTCTGTTGGTGCACCTGATACTCCAGTAGGAGGATCTTCCTGTAATCTTTATGAAAATAAGAAATCTTTAGAATTTTGCATTGCAAATGACAGATGTATACGTACAAACATATGTATCACAAAATTTGATCTAATCTTTGCTAATGTCGGAGTACTGATGCATAGAACAATATGTCCCCAATGTCTGCACAGCAATATTTTATTAAAAAAGAAAAAAACAAACAATATATATATTACCCTAAAATTCATTCACTCAAAAAACGACGTAATAAATAAAAAAAGACAGTCAAAATGCTACATTTGTATATCAAGTGCCCATTTTTTTATCAATTTTTATGCACAAATAATTTATGAACAGTTGTAAAATTCAGTTTCATTGACCTCTGAAAATAGAAATGGCAAGGTAGCAATTTATATAACCTTCCATTCGACATCCTCGTGAATGCTTTATTACGACACGGGACTCGTGACAAGCTCGTCAGGTGTCATACTTCGACAGAGAGAGAGAAAGAGAGATTTTTCGTGTTTCAAATCATAGTCCTATCTAATCTTATTGTACATACAAACGTGAATCATCTCGGCTCAATCGCGAATTCCTCATGGAGATTCATCGATTGTTCCAGAAATGCTCGAACGACACACCGCCTCTCGCGGACGGTGCCTCCTGGAAGTATCACACGACAAGGACAGTTTGTTTATCGAGTCAGGAGGTGGGGATGCTTGCACTTGACGGAGGGCAAGTGCGAAGAGTCGTGTCGCGAGAAGCGCGCTGTCTAATAATAATCGCGCCGGAGTGACTGACGTTCGCGTTAAGAAGCCGCAAAGTTTCGCGCGCGGGTGTGGAGTCAAAGTCGAGAATCACCAGGAGCTGCTACGTTTACAATGGCGCGTTATGTCGAGCGCGATCGAACGAACGAATGGACAAGCAGGCGTGCGGACGGACAAACCGATAGACAGACAGACAGAGAAAGACAATGCGTTAATATCGACGTCAAAGTACCTCTTGAAATCCCTCATTAGTCTCCTCCTCGCGGGGGTGGACATCCCTCACAAATGGGTTCGTCACTAAGTTCTCCGAGCGATGACGATGATGGATCACGCAAGAGGTCCTCTCACTCTTTCTCTATGTGGCTAGTGTATGTGCGGATGCGTGTACACGCTGCGCCGCCGACGACGACGACGACGACAACCACCACCACCACCACCACCACCTTCTTCCTCCACACCTTATATATGTCTAGCCGAAGGGACAAGCCCGACGAAAGAAATCACGGCACCCACACGCGCGTAAAATCATACACGGAAGGAAAGAAAAGGTGTAGGAGGGAAGGCGCTTATACTCGCGTCCGTATGTATGCACGTACGAACGTACGATAGCACGCAGAACGCGCGCGTTCTCTCTCACCACGCGCGCGCACGCACACGCGACGAGGCGAGGGTTATTTCTTACGAAGCTGCGGATTTGTACGACGTGAGAGCGAGTGAGAGAAAGAACGAGAGAGGGGGGAGAGAGAGAGGAAGGTGAACTGTGAGAGAAAGAGCGAGAGGCAGAGAAAAAGAGAGAAAGAGAGAGTGGAGTTCGTTGTTTGTCTCTTCCTTCAACTTCTTGTCAAGTCGCGTCCGTGAAGGCCGCCCTGTTTTCGGTACCGTTACGGAAATGCACGAATTCGGTCCCACCTCGATGACTACTACGACGACAACGATCACTCGTTCGCGTACCGACCCCGTTTACTTCGATCGAGCGTGCGTATGTCTGTCCGACGCGGACTCGAAACTTGCTTTCTTGAGCCGCGGCGAAGAACCCCCGCCAATGCCGAGCCTTCACGTAGTCCGCGATCGTTCTCGAGAAAATTAGCCTCGCCGACTGCCAAACGGTTCGCTCGACAGCTGGATAGCGGAGTGCGGTGGGGATACGAAGTGAGCTGTCTCTCCGACTGTCTCGGAACGGTGCGTGACGTCACCGACCGAGCGGAGCGAGAACATTGAATTCGTCAATGTGCATGGCGGCGCGTGCGTGCGTCAGGCTGGCAGCCGCGTTACTTTTCCCTACGAGCAGGAACATGAAGAGTGAAAGGTTTCACACGGAAAGTCCGGTCTTTTCGTAAATTGAATAATTATATAATCGCTAAATCGTCGAGTCACGCAAGACTTTTTGCGTTTGTTTTCTTTTTTAAGGGAAAATTACATGATCGTTAAAATTTTTCTCGTGAAACGCAGTCTATGGACAGTATTAGTAGGGTAAGATTCGTTTGGATCCTACAAACGCTTTAAAGGTTGTTCTACATTAGTTGAGCTGCGTTCTAAAATTCTACTCAGTGGATAGAGTATATTTAATTGACCAATTATGATCAAGAAATCCTAGTTATCTTTGTTCTTATTGATCAATGAAATGTTACTCCACCCGTCGAGTAGAGTTTTGGAACGCAGCCTTGCAAGTCGATTGCAACTCTTGTTGCGACAGCCAATCAGAAGCATCAATAGCACCATTGATGCTTCTGATTGGCTGTCGCAATTGCATCTACTTGCGATCGGCTTGCAATTAATGTAGGACGACCTTTAAAGCGCGTAAAGAAAGATCGTGATTGGGCGCGTTCAGCAGAAAAGCACTCAGTGAGCAATCAGCGATTATTGGTTCTTACTGTTAGATTCCTAAATCTAGACCAATTACATTGACGAATTGCTCAACTGCTGAATCGGGTCCTACTCGTATGTCATAGCAGTAATAAATTGACCAATCATACTGGATTTTTATAAGAATAATCGATTGTAATTGGTCAATTTCTTACTGCTACGGCGTACGATTCTTCATTGTAGATGGCCCTTAATGAACCTCTTATTGGAAGCTTATTACGGTTCTGTGTGAGAAGCGAAAATGTGAAAAGTAAACGAATTTTTACTAGAATATTTAAGAATATTATAATTTCATTGGTCAACATCTAGTGAATTCATTCATTTTTCGCATTTTCGCCTCTCACACAGAACCGTAATAAGCTCCCACGACGCGATTAACGATGGACAATCTAATTCAAAATAAATGATATCCAATGGCTTGGTTTACATCGTGCACTTGATACGCGTACTAAATAGTAATTTTCTATTAGATAATCTTAATTTCGACAATGTATATCAACGGCGATGCATTCAATCAATACAACATGTTTTGTTGATGAGTATTATACTACCTTAATATACCGTTGTTTATATATATCTTCGATATTAAGATTATCTAATAGAAAGTTACTATTTAGTACGCGTATCAAGTGCACGATGTAAACCAAGCCAGTGTGCGAGTCCCATAAAAGACACAGATCACGATCCATTTGACGCTGTGAACGCTTCCAAGCGCTATATAGACCAATCACAATGTTTCTTTACGCGCTTCAAAGCGTTCGCAGCCTCAAACGAGTCCTACTTCTAGAGACAAAAGAAGAAAGCAAATACTCGTATTCTCGCGCATTGAATTGGTGGCGCTTAGTAAAGTACGTTCGCTGTGAGAAGAGGTTAGGTTCTCTTGCCACACGGAAAGATGACGGATACGTAAGTAATTTCGGGAGCTCAGAGAAATCCGATTGCATCAATCAACAATATGATATAAAACATACAAAAATAGCAAGTTAATCGTTTGCTTGAAAATGCATGTATATTAGTAAATTTATATTTCTGTATTAACGTAACAAATAAAGATTATTTACGTGAGAATATAGCGTCACTTCTCACGAGACACGATGGTGCGATTATAAGCATAAAAATATTAAGTCAATATGAAACGTAAAATATGCTTTTCTTCATAAACATGAGTTAATGTTCCTGTATATTCTCGCAAATATTTGTGCAGGCGAAGTTAAGAGAATATAGCTAGGAAATGTTTTTCGATCAACACATAACCTATCTCCATCGCGGTACATTTGCCTGCTAAGCATGTATGCATGTTTTAAGGAATAATCGCGCATATTTTGTTTATGCAGAAAGAAAGAGACTGTACCGCCTGCAAGCACCAATAAGCTTCCGGCGGTGCCGGAATCTGTCCTTAAACGAAGGAAACGCCGTGAAGCAGTCAAGGCTGCACGTTTGCAGATATCCATTAAGGTAATTGTTATATCACGACCATACGAATAATTTCGCTTATAATATATGAAATACATGTGTTGCAGACCAATCTAATTTTTTTCTGTTTCCTTTAATTTTCTCTTACAGCAACGTGCAAATCGTTATAAGAAGAGGAAAGAAATTTTCAAGAGGGCAGAAAAATATGTGAAGGAGTACAGACAAAAAGAAAGAGATGAGATCAGGTTGATGAGACAAGCTAAGAACCGTGGAAACTATTACATTCCCGGTGAAGCACGTCTGGCTTTTGTCATTCGTATTCGAGGGTAAATATCAATATAAAATTCTTAGCATTAATCAAGTCTATTACTTTTACATAGTTTATATATATTCACTATATTACATGTAATATTACATGTAATATAACATGTAATATACATGAAAAGAATTTTATAGTAAAACTATAGGATTTTGTACCCAAGGAATAGATTGACATTCTGTAGTAATCCACTCCATCCTTTCATTTCATATACTACTTATATTTTAAAAACTGAAATATGTGATTAAAATACTAGCTATGTTTGTAACAAAATTTACTATATTCCTTATTAGCAGTCTATCTCTAGTATTAAGAATAAAAATAATGAAAACATAGTAAAATTGAAAAAAATGCTATTAAAAAAATGATAATGCACTGATATTCTTTAACTTTTTATTAACTTATCTCTTTTGATTTTGTTTCAGTGTGAATCAAGTTGCTCCAAAGGTACGAAAGGTACTTCAACTGTTCCGACTAAAGCAGATCAATAATGGCGTTTTCGTCAAATTAAATAAAGCAACTATTAATATGTTACGCATTGTTGAGCCCTACATCACGTGGGGATATCCAAATTTGAAGTCAGTTCGTGAACTGATCTACAAACGTGGATTTGCCAAGGTGAACAGGCAGCGCATCCCGATAACTAGCAATGCCATCATTGAGAGGAAGCTCGGTTAGTAAAGAATCTTTTAACACCTGTACAATATTAATTGCTAAAATTAAAGAACATTGCAAGTAAAATATAATTAGCATGCATGTTGCATTTTCTAAATGGTTTTTTGACAAATCCATAGGAGTGTTGTCTAGATAGACATTCTCCTTTCCAGTTTGTCAAAAATTAATAAAACAAATTTCTGAGAAACCTGACTGCATTCTGTATTTAGGTTTGACAGTGATTTGTACAAAAACACTTAACAGGTTAATGGTTAATTTTTATCAATTTTAATAGCTCGATTTAATAGAATATGTTTGTTGTTTAGGTCGCTCTAACATTATCTGTACTGAGGACTTGATTCATGAAATTTTCACTGTCGGCCCGAAATTCAAATACGCCAGCAATTTCTTGTGGCCATTTAAGGTATGGTGGAAAGAATATAATATAACGAGCACGTATATACATACATACATACATACACATACATACACACACATATCATATATACATATATATATGTGTGTGTGTATTTTGTTGTACGACATAGGCATGGTTGTAGAACAATATCATATCTATTAACCTCCTATTATGTCGAAAAGTAATAAGAGCTTCTCTTGCTGCTGAGTATTGTTTTGATACAAGACTAAGATGAGCTCAAACATTTTACTTTAATTTATTTAAAATGAAGAAAGGAAATTTATAGTGTTTAATAATTTTTTTGTATCTTGGTAATTTATATGTATAAAAATTTAGATTACATGTCTATATAAAAACCTGTTTTCCAATTTTTGTAGCTTAATACACCAAATGGTGGATGGCGCAAGAAGACCAACCACTATGTGGAGGGTGGTGATTTTGGAAACCGTGAAGACAAAATTAATGAACTTCTTCGAAGAATGGTGTAAACTTACCATGATCATAAATACAAAACTGCTATCTCCAAAATGAAGTTTCAGTTATGTGTTATATATATATGCATATATACCTTCCTATTCTCTATTTCCTAGTTTTTACTATCTGGTTTAGAATTACACAACTATTTTAAACGAAAATAAAAAGAATACTGGAATAATTTTTACTAATATTGAAAATGATTGATAAATTTATCTGTGCTATTGTTAATACATAAAAACTTAAGTAGTAAGCAAATTAACCAATTACAGTCATTAATTCTTGGATTGTAAGAAGAATTATTGACTGACTGGTCAATTTGTTTATTATTTACGTTTTACTGTTTACGGCTCCTGGCCCCTCGCATTGTCTCTCTTTTTAATGACGTCAGAAGCGAGAAAATGCATGCTAAAATTCTTGCAAAATACATTAAAATAAAAATATATATCCATAAAGTAACTTGCAATCGATTAAACAAATTTGTAAGATATCCCGTACACTCTCCTTTTGCTCTAACAATCAATAATTTATTATAAATTAATCTGAATAGAAATAGGTTAAGAGAATGAATTGTATGTCACGTTAACTTACGGACAAATTATTGATTGTTAGAGAAAAAGGGGAGTGCACAGAATATATACTAATTATAAATAACTATATTAATTATACTAATTTTTTATTATATCATTTCACTACCTATCTAACCTAACCACTCGCGGGCAAACAATTCAGACAGACGGCCGAGTATTATGTCCCCTAAGACCCTCTACTCGTACCTAACGCCGTCATTGGCCGCGTTCAGTAGAACAAGTGATCAGTAAGCGCTCAGTGAGCTCTTGCATCTGATTGGAATATAGTTGAAAATCTAAAAGAATATGCCAAATCATATACAAGAGCTCCCTGAGCGCTTACTGATCACTTGTTCTACTGAACGCGGCCATTGGAAACTGCTTACGTCGAGCTGCTACGTCATTTCACGCATGCGCATGTTATCTAGAAAATATCACGAACTCCCAACACTGGTCTCAAGCCTCCATTATTAATGCTCACGAGTACTTCGAAGACGCTACACGTTAATAAGTCGGTTGCATTGTTTATTGCATAGTTCGCATTATTCGTTGTATTTGAGTATACCATAACGAGATGGATATACTGAAAGCAGAAATAATGAGGAAACGCAAGGAGTTGGAAGACAGTCATGTACTGGTATGTTTTTATTGACTCTTGGTTATGTTACATTTTAAAGTCCGTTTATTCTGTTTACTCTAAGCATACTTACATCAAGATATTTATTACAGGAGAACAATCAGAAATACTTCAAGCGAAGTAAATTAATATCGAAGGAACAAGAAGTGCAAGAAACTGACAAGAGGAACAACGAAGTCACACTCTCGAGTATGAGTCAACGCTCGGAGGCGTGTGTAGCAGATAGTTCTGAGCATCTGATGTTATCAAGACAAGAAGTAATCAGACGATTACGTGAACGAGGAGAACCCGTATTATTGTTTGGGGAATCCGAGGTAGAAGCATTCAAGAGACTAAGGAAATGCGAAATTTTGGAGCCAGAAGTAAATAAGGTAAGATTGTCCAGAAGTAGTTATTGTTATCCACACATAGATATAGAATATCATAATCAACACCTAACCCTCTGATTTTGTGTGTATTATTTCTTTTAATGATAATTCAATTTTGCAAGACATTGTTGACTAATATTTTCTCAATAATTCTCAACAGGGCTTCAGAAACGATTTTCAAGAGGCTATGGAACAGGTGGATCAAGCATATCTCAATGAAATCTTGACATCATCCAAGTCTCAAAGTCTGGATGGTAAAGGAGATGTAAATGTGCCTGACGAAGGTGTTACTTACGAAGATATAGAAAAGATGTCGACCAAATTAAACAAGGGAGACAAGGACTTTGACATGAATGTCATCACTCTGTTCGTGCAATATCTGGTCCAGATGTGGGGCATTCAACTGAACAGTAGAACAGGCACTGAAAAGATGGGCACCAAAGGCAAGATGAACAGCGCTACTTACGCCCAAACGAGAGAGTATTTGAAACCACTTTTGAGGAAGTTGAAGAACAAGTCTCTCCCGGAAGATATAACTGACAGTTTAACAGAGATTGTTAAACATTTACTGCAACGTAACTATATACTGGTATGTACACATAGCTGTATATCTGTCTCCGCTAGTAATTATAAGAACTATACATTGAATATTTTATAATAACATATTACTCTTATTTTACAGGCTAGCGACGCCTATTTGCAAATGGCTATAGGTAATTCTCCGTGGCCTATCGGCGTAACCATGGTCGGTATCCACGCGCGTACTGGAAGAGAGAAGATCTTTTCGAAGAATGTTGCTCACGTTATGAATGATGAGACACAGAGGAAGTATATCCAAGCACTCAAGAGGTTGATGACTAAGTGTCAGGAGTACTATCCTACGGATCCTTCGCGTTGCGTAGAATATTCAAAAAATTAAATACTTAGATAAAAAAAGTGTATGTGATAATGTACAAAATGGAGCAGAATATATTTTAAGTTTGTATTTGTAGTTAAGGATTTCATTGTAAGATAACGTAATAATGAATAACATGACATAAATTACTATATATCTTATTACAAGATGTAAAATGTTAATAATTTATAATTTTTTAAATAACCAAATATTAGAATTATAGGATAATATAATATTAGGATTAGGATTATAGGATATTAATAGGATAATATATTAATAAATAGAATGATTTATCATACATATCTAATATACTTTTTGTAATAAACTGATTTATAAAAATGAAATTTGTATAGTTATAAGTTATATATAAAAAATATTTTAAAATATACGTTTTAAATATAGAATTCTCTCTTGCAAGAAGAGATTTCCGTTATTTCTGTGCGTTTTCGTGTTATAATGTAAATATAATTACATTAATTATGTGAACAAAACTAGAAATATATCTGTAAAATTAAGTGATAACATTGTGTTGAAAACATTTACTTCAAATATAACTACAAATGGCCCTAAATATTATCTATTGACAGGACCTAGCTCAGCATGGTTTTATCGCAATTCACTAGTTCTCTTTACAGCAGCCTGAACTGCATTAATCATAGATCCCCTGTAAGATTCAATAAATAAAGTTAGCTGCTATTTTTCCAGCCTGATATCTAAATATGCGAATATTTGACAATGAAAGATATACATTTTATTTATATTTATGCTAATAACTCAGAATACCTGACTCCGCCGACTTCCATTGCGTGAACGCCAGCGATAGTAGTACCTCCAGGCGAGCAGACCTCATCCTTCAACTGACCAGGATGTCGTCCAGTTTCAAGAACCATTTTTCCAGCACCTACCAGTACTTGCGCTGCGAATTTAGTCGCCATTAATCTCGGTACACCCATCCTGACAGCACCATCTGATAATGCTTCTATGATGAGGTAAGCCTAAATAGTAATCATTTGAAATTTTAGAAATCTATATGTTTTTTATTTCTCTTTTTTTCTTCTTGTAATGTGTGCTCAGTAAATACCAACTGTGAGTAATATAATATCAATGTTATAATTTTGCACTTAATTCCTATTCAACAATGTAACAAATGTAATATAACATGTGTAATAAATTATATCAATATAACATTGATATAGTGTTATTGTTAATTGGTGTTTACTGAATGATAGCACTGTGAAGACTTACAAAAGCAGGAGCACAGCCTGACAGACCACCGATAGCATTCATAAGAGATTCTGGAACATTTTCACAGATACCAATGTGGGAGAACAATGTATCTATCATCTTTAAATCCTGTGGAGTGGTGTTTTGACTGCAATAAACTAAAAATTACAATTGCATTTATAAGTTAGTCTAAGTGCACAATACTTGCAACTCACCTGTAATTCCCTCCCCAACCATCAAAGGTGTATTCGGCACAGATCTAACTATCCTTGGGAAATCCGCAATCAGTTCGAGTTTCTGAAAGTATTTCATATAGATTGCCATAGAGAATGATTGAAATTACATTGTATGTACTATGTTCAACTTGACTATTTAGTATAAAATCCTGCTTTTTTTACATTCTGTAAGACGTCGAGAGTCACTCCAGCAAGCACTGAGATAAAAAGTTTTCCCTTATACTTTATTTTTGATCCATGATCTGATTGTCTCACAGTAATATTAACAATGACATCATCCAACATATGCGGTTTTATTGCCAGAAACACAACATCACAATTGTCCAGAACTTCGCAATTGTTCAAAGTCGGATGAGCACCCAGTTGTTGCCAAAAACTGTGCATCCTGTCTGTATGAGTAGAAACCCAGCATTTGTCTGGATTTAATATACCTATTATAACAAAACGCATCGGTGTTGCCGTATAAAAAAATCTGCTTTATTCGTCAGTTTACCACAGAAAAGGAGAAAAGAAACTGAAAGAAATAAGACAAAATCACCTTTGTTAATTAAACCAGCGCCTATAGCACTGGCCATATTTCCGCCTCCAATAAATCCGACTTTAACAGACTTCAATTGTTGTTCCTCCATAGTCAACTGTAAAGTCTCGATTATATTCTGTACCGTGTACAATTTTCACGTTTTTCACGAAATATCGTGCTTTTTGTCAAGGAAAACTTGTTTCTGGTTTCCAAATCTGAACAGAGGATTCGTTTACTCAGTGTGAAGCTATTTCGTAATTATTGGTAATACCAGAGACTCTATTCCGTTCCCGTGTACTGGCAAGTGTCGGCTCAGTATATGTCGTTACGCAGCTGTTTTATAATATGATTATATCTATGCATCGACACAACCGAGCCTGTAGTTGTCAGTACACGAAAACGGAATAGAGTATTGGTATTACCAATAATTGCCCAAGGGCACCCAGGGGAGCCTGACCAATGGAATCTGATCAAGAGGCGGTTTAATTTTTCTCTTGAGACGCGTTCCGTTACACGCTCGCGAAAGTCATTCTATCTTTATTGCTCATGGATGTTAAACAAAGATAGAATGACGCTTGCGAGCGTGCGAGCTGTAACGGAACGCGCCCTTAGAAAGAAAAGATTTTTAGCGCCTCTATTATGGGTCTCATCAACCGAACTAAAGAGCCGTTTGCCATTGTATAGGGTGAGTTTTTTAATTCATCGATGGATCCATCGATGAATTAAAAACTCGACCATACTTACACATTAGGTCAAACCGAATAAAAAAGTCTTCTATTATTTCGCAAGTGACCACATAGATTTTTAGATATTAATTAAAGAAAATTTATGCATTATCGTGCATAATCATATAACAATTTTTCTTCATTAATAACTACAAATCTACGTGGTTATTGCAAAATAATAAAGGGCTTTCTTGTTAAATTTGATTTAATCTACAAATATCTAATAGCACATTTTGCAATTACAACTTATCTACCATATCGTGTGTAATCATTCATCTTCTTTAATTAATACCTCGATTATTAAAACGGTATAAGACTTTCGTATTCACTTCAATCCGTTCTACGTTCCCACACAATTGCGGAGGAGAATTTGGGACACCTTGTATATGACGCCGCTGTACGTGATCGTGGTGAATGCGTCACTCTTGAGAGTGCGTGTCACCTATCCGTGATTATCTGGAGTTTATTACCTGTTGTGTTACCTGCGAATCCACGCACGATGCAACGCGTCAATAAATGACAGGAGTTCGTCGATGCGCAATTAAAAGCGCAACGCACGGAATTCTTTCTCGCAATGGGCAATTGCATTAGAAGTATACTGAAGAGGTTAAGAACGAGCCGCGGCACGGAAAGGTGCGTTTTTGCAAGGTATTTACTACGCGGGCAACGTCTCGTTTATTTACATCAGTATTATTATATTCTCATTTTAGAACTATTATCTTGCTCATTGTGGGACTGGACAATGCCGGGAAATCCTTGATTCTGAATCACATAAGTGGTGGTAGGTCATACACAATAAATCTCTTCACTGAATATTTTTCATCACACAAACTTATTTTTCCCAAACTTCAATCTGAGAAGTTTTAAATTTAAATCTATACTTCCAGAGGATATAGATTGCAACACTATGAAAAGTGTGATAGAGACAAATATAAATTGTACTAATCTTGATTGTAAATAAGTTCTTTGATCTTTTTTATGTAGTAAACTCTGCTTAAAATGAATACAGAACGATAAGATTAGGTTATATTAGCCTGAGAGTTTCAATATAAATCAATCATTGTCTTATTAATTTGTACTGATTTAGATTGAAATTCAGGCCGAACATTATGTAATATCATTTTGTATCTATTGTTTTAAACAGAGAAACAATTATTAACATCTTAATCATTGATACTAGCTGCGACATTGTAAATCGAAGACGTCGGATTGCTCTTTTACCTCGAAAATGCACAGAAGTGAGAGAGATACGAGATCTCATCTTTTTCATTTCTATGCATCTTCGAGATGAAAAAGCAATCCGATGTCTTCGATTTACAATGCCGAACGCAAGCTACTATAAAAACATCTAGATTTTCTTGTGACCAATAGAACTATAGAAAAATTTAGATTTTCTTGTGGCCAATAGAATTTATTCATAGTTTCAGTTGTGAAGATTTCTTTAGGAATTAGAATGCAGGTGAAAAAATTAACTGCAATCTTGTAAGGAAAACTGAATTTCTCTAGATTGTCAATGACCAGAGATATTTAATTAGTCAATGATATTTAATTAGTCAATTGGATATTTTATCCTTTTATCTATGATTTTACTTTATAGATCCAGATCAAAATGTATTTATTTTATAGATCCAGATCAAAATGTATTGCCTACCATGGGATTTCGTATGGTATCCTTAAAGCACAAGTCGTACTTGGTGAAGATATATGATGTGGGTGGTAGTTCACAAATTAGAGCATTGTGGCCTAAATATTACAACGACGTAAGTGATTTTTATATATTCCCAGTAAACGACAAATTGTGATCATACAAGTAACTGTAATTAAGTATAATAAGTAATAAGTAATAAGTAATTAATATGATTAGTAACAAGTAACTAATATGATTACCAGTAATTACGCCATTGCTCGCTGCATCTGCATGCAGTAGCATGTGAATAATCCCGACATTGTACCTCTCACTTAACATCTTTTAGATACACGGTCTTATATACGTGGTGGACGCTAGCGATATTTCCCGTCTTGCCGAAAATAAACTCGTGTTTAACGAATTAATTACGCACGAACATATCTCGACGAAACCATTATTGTTGTAAGGGAACTGAATTTACGCTTACGTCTTCGCACGCTCTCAAATTACGCACTCACGATCGTTGCTTGATACACAGTGCATAGTTTAAGAAAAAAAAGAAAGAAAAAAGAATTAGCCTCTGAATCGTTTATATGTGTATGAGATTAAGAACTATAGATAAAAGGCACGGTATCGCCATGTACAATATATCTCGTCATCATCGCGTTTGTAATGCAATGCACAGACTCGCCAACAAACAAGACTTGAACGGTGCCATCGACGAGCTGGATTTGGTTGAGAACTTGGACGTGGAGCGCGCGGCCAACGCCATGAAGTGCCCCACCAGGGTGGAAACGTGCTCCTGCGTTTATGACAAGGAACAATCGAGGAACAGCACTTTGGGCATAAGAAACGGATACAAGTAAGTTGGTCGGTCGGTCTACAAAGTCTAGATACACATGCAAAGTGAGACTTTCATGGCATGCACTTCCACGTTTGTGATTAGACATTGCTTCGCGCAGGTGGTTGTTGGATACGATCGTGAAGAATTACGTCACGCTGAACAACAGAACCAGACAATCGCAACGACCTCGGCGAGATTCCAGAAGAAATAGAGTCCAGGACACGCAGTCTATTGCGTCGAACACACCGTCAAGAATGTCCGTGCACTCGAATCCTTTTAAACCCATTAAAGATCTTTTAGCGACAAAGGTACGTACAAGTTAATCGCGTGATTTATTTTGATTTGTATCTTTCGCGTTTTTCTTTCTTCATATCTTTTCTTCTAAAGATATTTGGCTGTTTATGTAATTGACGATGCTTTAAAATTGTAGGATGAGCTCGCGATAAATGAGTCACGCAATGGTACGTACTATCCAGCTAAAAGTGTATATGTATAATACGTTTATATGAAATATATAAATTGTCCATATACTTTATAAAAAATATAAATTTATGTTTGCATTTCCACGTTCGAAATGTGCAAGAAACACTTCTGTTTTTTTGTAAACTTCCTGCCAAAATTGTCAAAAAACGTATCTATATTCAAACGTTTCTCGCAGGTACCAGTGACGGGAGAAGCATCACGAAAGTTTTTATGCGGAAAAACAAGACTGCCCCTCTTCCAGTTGATCAATCGATTATCGAGTACGAAAGTCTCTCGCCTAACGAGGAAGCCCTGCATTCTCCTGAGGAGGCCGGGGAGAAAAGCACACAAACTACGACGACGATACTGGATCCCTTGAACTTGGAGATCAATCATCGCGACAGTTATATGCATATGAAACTAATCCGTCCGTACACCGCGCCGGAGCGATCGCAACGATTGCCGAATAAGATGACGATAATTAGCATTCCTGGACAAGTGCCTCAATGACAAGATCTGTAATATCTTGTACTTCATTAATTTTACGGGACCAAGTTACATTCGTTACATCGTAACGTATACACAAAGTCATGTGTCTGCGGCTTTGGAATTTCAAAAAGACTATCGTCTCAAGAAACATTGTGTCCTTTCAACGTGCAGTCTTTGAGCATTGCCATTTACAATAAATTGATTTATATAATTGCGTTAATTAATATCTCGTGTATAAAAATATATTCTTGCCACGTTGTTAGAAGTTACCGAAGCAGAAAATGCGAAAATAATTTAATTTTGTGAACATTAATGGTCGTATTTATTAATAAGTTTGTAAACCTATAATAAATATTGTATGTATCTCTTTTATCTAATACAAAAAAATATATATTCAATAAATATGTTTTTATTATTTAAACGGGAAGTATGGGATGTGTGTGTGTGTGTGTGTGTGTATATATATATATATATACCAGATTAATTGCAATATTAAAGTTACAACGAAGCTGTGTGTTTTGTTGTATTTATTTTGTAAATTTGTATACAAGTCCATGTATATAGATATTACAAATATATGTGATACAAAAAAGCACACTTAGGTATCGCTAAAGCTAGGATATATAGATGCTACAAAATTGCTAATATATATATATATATATATATATATATATATATATATATATATATATATATATATATATAT